ACTGGAAGCAGGTCATGAATGGCTTTCTAAGGAGAGTTGCTTGTGATCCTAGCTCTGATTCCAGCGTCCCATCCGTTGTGCTCCAGCCCATGAATACTTGCCACTATTCTAGCCCATAGCTTCTCCTTCTCCATAGGAAACCTCCACAGCCACTTCCCCATCAGAGTCATTCCTTCTCCTACAATTTGGCTAAAAACTTTAAAAGCATTCTCAAGGGAAAATGTGTGGAAAAGTCACTTTCTATACAAATTCTCTTTGGGGGGAATGGGGTGAAGAAGAATTTTAAACTTGATGTCTACCATCAAGAAAAAGAAGAGCTATAAACAAAGTCGTCGTCATCACCATTATCTAAGCCTTATCCCAACTATGTGGAGTTAGCTACATGGATCCTGCTCATCATTCTGCTCTATTTAGTGTTGTATACATTGTTAAATTATTAGTGCTTAAATCATTTCTTACTACTTCAATCCACGTCCTTTTTGGCATGTATCTAGCCCTTCTATCCCCTTCAACTTGCAACAGATCACTTCTTACAGGTGTTGCAGATGGTCTTTTATGCACATGACTCCATCTTACTCTGCTTTCTCTCATTTTATCACCAAATGCGGCTACTCCTAAGTTCCTTTAAATGACTTCATTTCTAACCCTATCCTTTTTTAGTTTTACTCATCCATCTCATCTTGTGCATCTCTGCAACTAATATTTTGGACCTGTTATATATTGACTACCCAACACTCTGATCCATACAGCATTGCTAGTCTTACAATTGTTTTATAGAATTTTCCTTTTAACTTAAGTGGCATTTACTTATCACATAATATAGACCAATGTTTTAAAACGTGGAGGCATGATGCGGGGTGTTCCACTACCTAGAGGCATGAGGCATAGTATAGAATGTAAGAGGCGTAAGCCTTCCGAACACAAGGAGGTGTAAGACTCCTTAATAGGAGGGGGATGTGAGGAAGAAGAGGCGTAAATGTTCCCTTCCCTTCCCTTCCCTTTTTCTTTTCTTTCTTTTTATTTCCCTTTTTCCTTCTTGTCCTTTCCTTTCTTTTCTTTTTTCTTTTTTTGTCTTTTTGTACAAGGTTGGCATGGGGGACATGAGACGTATCATGTACGCCTCTAGCATGCCTCATGAAAAAGGTGTATGAGGCGTATGCCTCAAAGGTATCAATGCCTCTGGCATATGCTTCAGGGTGTTTTGGGAGTGCTCCGCCTAGAGGTGCACCTCCAGGCATTTGCCTCCCACGCCTTTTAAAACACTGATATAGACACCATAGAGATGAAATTGCATGAAAAGCAAAAAAACATACATACAATTACAAGAATTTGATGATACACCATGAATTAGGGCAATATAAAGTGAGAATTTGTTTGCTTGGGTGATTGATAATAGAAGATGAGAAATTATTGGTTCAGCTAAATGTCCTTGATAACTCCTGCATAATAATTGCATCACTCACTCAAAGGCACTAATGCTTTAAAATTCCAATCCATCATTTCAAGCACCACTGCCTTTAAAAGAGGTTGAAAAGATCATTACATAAGAGTTATATCAATAAATTATTTATAAAGGAATACCTTAAGGTTGCTCAGCATCTTCACAGTTGCAGGATTAAAATAGAGCTGCACAGAGATAATGACATAGTTACACAAAAATGATGAATCAAGAACATAATTAAATAAATCATTATTTCATAAATCAAAACAGAATCTAATTGCTTTTCTTATTGAGTCAACAATAATAAAGATTGCAAATAGATGTTCTCAATAGAGCTGTCAATCATCTGGGTTGACCCGACCGAACCAAATCAATTCAACCTAATTACATAGGATCTAGATCTGTATTGTACTCCCAATTATTAATAGGGTAAGTTCTGGGATGATATTTTCAGTCCCAGCCATAACAGGATAGGAATTAAGTTTTCTTGTTCTGACCCATTTAAGACCCCAACTGATTATGTAAATACACATACATAAATACATACATACATATACACATATATATAACCAAAATAATTATACAGTTAACAATCAATAAAAAGGTACCTAGAATTAGCAGATTCACTGTCAAATTACCAGATTAAAGGCCTCTTAGTCAGAAATTGGGTCCTATGGGGTCAGACCCAATAAGCCTGATTCTGGTTCAGCTCAGGGCCTATTACTTTAAGGCCCTACATGGTCTGGATTGGAACTGAGTCCCAAGTGTTTTCTTATTGGGTTAGGACAAGGTCTAACCCTATGTCAGCCCAAATATGACCTATCGACTCAAGCAGAGAAAATGATAACCAGGAAGACTAATACCTGCATGATGAACTTTAGATAGTTGTTGATAGCATATAGAAGAGCAGGGACAGCAAGAAGAACATTGTTGCGAGCTGCCTGCAAGAAATATAGACATTTTAACACAAGTTAAACAAGGTTCTATTATTAAATATTTAGCTAATTCACTTCTCATTATTTCACAAATTAAACTGCATAAATTAACTGAATCCAATAAAACCTTGTCCTAATTATATGAAGTTGGGTACATGAATTCTGTTTCGCCATTCCACTCTATGAATGAAAACTAAGGGCCCATTTGGCATCAATTCTAGAAATTCTCATCCTCAGAATCTATCCAGAAAAAAAATGGATTCTAGATTTTCTTGATTCTCTGAGAATATGTCTAAGTGTTTGGCACACCTTTTTCTTGGAACCAGAATTCAGTTTGGCACATCTTACCCACCCTTGCTATAACACGGAATGGACCATAAAATCTGGGAGCTAACTTTTGGGATGACCGTTTGGCCAAGCTACTCTACCTGTAAGGCCTTAGCTTCAAGTAAACCCAGTCTCCTACCTCAAACTAGACATCCCAGTGTCTCTTATCATGGTGAGCCTTCATTTGCTGTTGAGCCTTTAGCAAGTTGGCCTTTAAGTCTTTAAGGACTACATCTCTGTCTGTTAGGTGTGCATCTACTTCAGCCACAGAAGTGGATCCCTTCTCATATCGTAGTATGGAAGGTGGTTCCCTTCTGTATAGAGCATGAAAAGGTGGCATGTGAATTGAAACATGAAAAGACATGTTATACCAGTATTCTGCCCATGGTAGCCACTTGACCCGCTTCCCGGGGTAATCGCTAGTAAAACACCGAAGGTAGGTCTCAAGGGAATGATTCACCACCTCTGTCTGTCCGTCGGTTTGCAGATGATAGCTGGTGGAATGGTGGAGTTTTGTTCCTTGTACCCAGAAGTATTCAGACCAGAAATGGCTCATGAAAGAGGAGTCACGATCAGAGATAATCGTCTTGGGCATGCCGTGTAAACAGGAGACCTCCTTAACAAAAGTTTTGGCCACTTGTGCTGCAGTGTATGGATGGGATAGTGGTGTGAAATGCGCATACTTGGACAGTTGATCCACAAAAATGGCAATGACTGTCTTCCCACCAGAAGGAGGTAGACCAGCAATGAAATCCATAGATACCTCGTCCCACACTTGTTCCTGGAGCAGTATGGGCTGTAACAGCCCATCTGGGGACTGATTGTCATACTTATGCCATTGACATATCGTACACGTGGCCACATACTCCCTAATCTGTTTCTTCATTCCCACCCAATAAAAATGAGAGGATATCCTATGATAAGTTCGTAGGATGCCTGAATGTCCCCCCCCTGCTGGAGAAGCATGAAAAAGCTCCAAGAGGGCCAGAATGTGGGTTGAGTTATCCGGTAACACCATTCTGCCCTTGTGCATCAGAACTTCATCACAAAGGGAAAAAGTAAGGTTTAAAATGTCGATGTCGATGGAAATGTCGCTTACCAAAATATAGGACATATGTCGGAAATGTTAGAAATGTCGAGGGGAAATATTGTAAAAATTAGAGACATTGTGGAAATATTATGAAATATGTGGAAATATGCAATGATATTTTGTAAAATGATAAAAGAAGCATTAATACATATTTCTAGACTATTATCTTATTCCCAACCATTAAATAAAGCTAAGAAACTAAGATCATGTTAGGAACTGCCTCACTCAGGGACTCTGCCTCCTGAACGAGAGAGAGAGAGAGAGAGATTGTATTCCCAAATCAATAATTCCCTCCTAGCTGCCTTTCCTTATTTATATACTGCTATTGCAATTCTGTTATACCAGCCTCTCCACTTGTCCAGTTTGTTATTTAGTTTGTTCTAATGGTTGGCTGTTAGTTACATTCTTTAAAGGCTGGCGTGGCCTTTTGTTGTACACTTGTATTCCCTTTACTTGTGTCTCAACAGTCCCTCCTCCCTTGAAAGCGACCTTGCCCTCAAGGTCAAGATGTGGAAATCTATTCTGTAAGTCCAAGTAAGGTTCCCAAGTTGCATCCTCAATTGGGAGACCTGAAATCTGGTTCGATGTGATTCCCTTTGCGTATCCACCTGAAATCTGTTATCTAGGTTGGCTCAGTTTGAACTTGGCCATCTTCCGAGAATGATGGGAGGGTGGTTGTTGTTATTGCTCCTGTTTTTGGCCATTTCTTCAATAGGAATACATGGAATACAGGGTGCAATTTTGATGTTGCTGGGAGGTCAAACCTGTATGCTACAGACCCAATGCGTTCCACAATCCGAAATGGGCCGAAGTACCTAGGGCTCAGTTTGTTCCACTTGTGGCCTGCCATTGAAACTTGCTTGTATGGTTGTAGTTTAAGGAAGACTTGCTCCCCAATTTGGTGTTGGACAGGCCTATGCCTTCTGTTGTAGGAGTCTGCCATCCATTGTTGGGCTCGATGGAGGTGGGATTTGAGATCTTGTAACACCCTATCTCGCTGGAGGAGTTGGTCTTCTACTGCTGCTACTGTTGTAGACCCTTTCTCATATGGGAGTAGGGGAGGTGGGTCCCGTCCATATAAAGCCCGGAAGGGAGTCATTCCTGCTGCACTATGATACGTGGTATTGTACCACCATTATGCCCAATGAAGCCACTTGAGCCACTTGGATCGGAATCCCTAGTTGTCTAACCAATGTTTGGGTAATGAAATTGAGTGTGCTGCCATCAGAACCGACACATGGCGCCCTTGTACCAGTCTGGTTACTCTCATAGTTTGAGAAGAAGCAAGACCGGTCAAGGCTTGCAGGGATACTTCCGGGTATTCCTTTGTCCATTGCCCCCATTCTTGGTTGTTCATTGGCTCTTCAATGTCTGTTGATTGCTCGACGTATTCGGTTTCAGGTTGAAGGAAGAAAACTTGAGGGATCTTACAGTGATGGCCCGGCCCAAAATTGCCTCCACATGCATAACAAAGGCCCTTTTCCCATTGAGCTTGCATCTCAGCCCAGGTTAACCTCTTGGCTGAGTCGGGGCCTGAACCAGAGTTGGCGTCCTTGCCTGTGATTCCTAGTCTCGGTCTGGACTCTGGTTTACCCAAGATACCTGGTTCTAGGTTCAGTATACCTGGTCTGATCGCATCTCCCAGAGATCGATTAATCCTTCTTACCCGATTCAGTTTGTCTTCATGTAGTCGAGCTAATGCTGCTGCTTCAAGAACGGTGGTGGGTTGCATGGCTTTTACCTCAAGCCGCAATTCTCCCTGAGTCCACCAACAAAACTGCCGACAAGCGCGTTTTCTGGCCAGCCTTGCACACGCACAGCTAACCTTTCGAACGCCATCTGATAATCTTGGACAGAACCAGTCTGTCGTAGCTTAGCAAGGCTTTCATCATAGTTCTCAAAAGCAAAGACTCCAAATCGCATGGTTAAGGCATCGATGAAGTCCGCCCATGTGGCTCTTGGGTGTCGTCGCCGGTACCACTGGTACCAGACGATCGCCTCTCCTTCCAGGTGTGCAGAAGCTAATGGAACACGATCAAGTCCCTGTGTGTCGTGGTAATCGAAGTATCTTTTTGTTCGCAGAAGCCAGGATGTGGGATCTCCCCTTGCGAAGATGGGAAACTCGATTCTTGTTGTTCTTGATCCGCTTCGATGACTAGTGTCATTGCGCTCTTCCTGATTCGGCACGGGTGGTGCCTGTGGCAGTCGTTCAAGCAAGGATGCGAAGCTTTCTTTGATTTTTCTGACATCAGCCGATATTCTTTGCATTTCTCCTTCCATGTTGTCGACTCTGTTCTCCATTGCAGACAACCTTGTGCTTGGCATCTTGGCTCCGATACCAACTTGTTAGGAACTGCCTAACTCAGGGACTCTTTCGAGGAAGCCTGCCTCCTGAGAGAGAGAGAGAGAGAGAGAGAGAGAGAGAGAGATTGTATTCCCAAATCAATAATTCCCTCCTAGCTTCCTTTCCTTATTTATATATTGCTGTTACAATTCTGTTATAC